TCGAGTCCCGTTACTGCAACCTAATTACGACAAAACGACAGGTCTTGCAGCAACCTACCAGCCTCCCGTACACAAGAAGCAACCCCCAGAAGCAACACACGGCGTAATTTATTTTAGGACTTCCTTCTTTTGAGAAATAAAATACCGGAACTGTGAAAGTTCCATAAGCCATTTGACAAATATCACAGTTGCCCAAGAGGAATAGCGGCTGTTGGCGCACACACAAAATGGACCAAGGCAGCAGCAAACACTTCGACGGCATTTGCTCCGATCAACTGCCACCGCCACTGTCCCCCCCAACGCTACAGCCACGAAGTAATGAAGGCACCACTCTCTCGCGCACTCGAAAGGCTATGGTTTGCAAGCAAATGCTGCGCTCTCGCCTCCAGAATATCAAGCTGATAGAAGAAAAGCTGGAGAAAATCTCACAGTTTTCACTAGAGCTTATGAATGAACGAGACGAGTTGGCTCTGATAATAGCTCACGAGAAGGAACAGACTATCCGCCTTGCCGCCGCTGATGGAGCACCTACGCACGAAACAGGCTACGTGATGTCGTTCTCAGTGGCTCTCGAACAGTGCTGCGAAGCTCTATTAGAGCACATTTAAATCAGCTTAATACAAAACTCACAGGAAGAAGACGAGACGACGTAACTACTTAAAAAATCGATACCATTTGGCGAAGGCAAGTGCTCGTGTTAATGTGTTATGGTCGCAAGTAGCTCCAAGTCAGTCGCCTCTATCTCCTTAGCAATTTGGTTTGCTACAGTGTTAACTTCTGGTTGCATAACTATCATCCACATGATACGAAGCCGCATAATTGCGATATCGTCTGTTGTAACGGCACCTTGTGCAAGCTGGAAGCTGTCCTTCAACACGGAATAAACTTGGGCAATAGTCAACACACCACACGAAGTTCCATCGGGCTGCTTTGGCGACATTAACCATACTTTACTGTTCTCCACTGGATAATCTTCATTCGGCATGGTTTATTACATGCCCTCTCTTTCCAAAAATGGCACACGCGTAGGCGGTGTAGTTCGGCTCCCTTGTATTCGCTTTACGAAGATTCGCCCACTCGAACTGTAGTTAGTAGTAGGGTGTAAAGCACGGATCTTCTCTTTTGTAAGCAATGGCGACGATGACGACACCCCAATGGATGTTGCTTAAATGCAGAGGCAACACAAGGTAGTGGAAGCTTGAAATCCGTGACGGTGGTGGTTTCGGACTGCCCATAGTTGGAGAAAATGAATCCAATGCGTAACAATCTCCCAGCGCATCGCAGATGCATCGATAACTGAAATTGATAATGACATCAGAGAGCATTCTGGCACGCGCAAGCATTCCAACGAGCGTGTCGACCTTAACGGCGCCTTCACCACTTGATAGTCGGAAAGTAGAACTTAAACAAGCACCCTCGAGCTGTACCACCACTTCGTTTGCCAGCTCCTGATGTTTTTCCCCCGCCGACAGTAAGAATATGTCGTCCGAATCAGTCTCCGCTTTAAACAACTCGGGGATTTCAAGGATATTGCTCCACTTGGTCGTTTGCAGCCATTCCATGTCAGCTCTCCATGCGTTAATTTTTTTTCCACGTTGTAAAACTCCGACATTTTGAAGACGGCTTCACTGTTGTTACAGGTTCGTACAGCAGCAAACAACATTGTAGAAGCAAGTCAGTCACAGCAACACACCGAGCAACACACCGAGCAACACACCGAGCAACACTACAAAAGCTTACCTTGTAAATCGTGGCGTTCCACCAGGAAAATATGCAATAATTGCTTCGGTGTTGCTGTCCTGGTGCTCAACCACGGGGTTGAAATACTTCGACTTGGGTCGCTTCTTCCGCTCTGCTTCAATGACCGCTTTCAGCTTAATTACTAGCGGTTTGGAAATTACACAGTTGTAGACGTAGTCCTTGGGAGACACAGACTCTCGACAGCTGTGTGCAACACGCGCATTCATGAAATCGTCGTCCAAGATCGTTGGGTATCCTGCCAAGATCTCGCTGACATGATTCTGGTCGGAAGTATTTGTTGCCCACACGATGACGCGAGACACAGATGGCACAGGTTTGTCCGGTAACGTAATAACGGCTAGCTTATTAGACTTTGTGGGTTTCTCCAGCCGAGCTTGCTTTAGTTTTTTTCGTTGGTTGCTTCGTGGTTTGGGTTTTGGAATACGTAGCACTTCCAGACGGCCTCCTTGTGCTCCAACGTTCTTCGATATTTTCTTGGTCGCTTCTGCCTTTACTGTAGCTTTTGGGGGGTAATCACTCTTCACACTGGGTGGTTCTTCTGTAGATTCTACCGTGACCGCGGCTTTCGTCGGGTAATACTTCGTTAATCCGGGCTTCACGCCCGGATTCACGCCAGGATTCGCCGAAGTGGAGGTGGCGATGTCAATGTCACTGGATGGAGCTGTTTTATTCCGTGAGGTTGAACTACCAAGCTCACTTTCCTGCGACGACTCGGCCCTTGTAGTATTTCTTTGCAGATCAAACTCACTTTTCTCCATTTCACGAATGAAATTCATAGTTTCAATGAGATCTGCTGGTGTTATGTCAGACGTTTTTTTATATAACCCCCCAGTCTTCGCCGGATACGTCTTCATCTAGCACTGTTGTAGCGTCCGGCTGTTCGCTCAGCGGGTGGTGCGAGAGAATTATAGACCTTTAGCAGCTATTGTTTGCCGCGGGTGGAGAATAGCTGTGAGTTCAACAACGACCATTCTGCTAGAGCTTTTTTCGCGGGACGCGCAACAAGCAAACGAAGCAAGTTGGCGACAGTAGTTCGGTGGTGCAAAAGAAGCTTTGCCAGCTGGGTTTGAACCAGCGACCTTGAGGCAACATTCACTTCCTCTGCCAACTGAGCTACAGGAGAA